AATTCCAATATATTCTTAAGAATTATTTAGGGGAGCTCTGGTGGCCTAGTGGCAAGAAGCTGCAACTACAATCCCAGAGGTGCACGGTTCGAATCCACCAGATGCTCTGCCGGGGAAGGAGGAGATTGCCCCTCCTGTACCAGTCAGATCTGATTTGACGGTACACGCTCACAAAAATAATAAAATAAAATTTTAATTAAAAAAAAATAAATAAAGAAAGGATATAGCCAGGTTCTTCAGGTCTAATGCTGTATCCTTCTTCATCCAGCTCAGGTGAATTCTGTAAAATACAAATGCACATTGAGTTATTACTATACCAAAAACAATCAGAGAATTATTCACTACACTTATTGACATGTCAACTTAGATACAAGCATGTTTCCTTTTTAAGGAGACTGGGATTTTAATGTTTAAATGTAAATGTTGAGGGGTGTAAGTGTAGGTATTTATTCAAGGAGGTTTGAGGAGTCATTGTATTAGTAAAATAGCTAGGAATCAGGCTAATATGACAAGAGAAGGAAATAATAGGCATCCAAATTGGCAAAGAGGTGATAAAACTGTACTATATGCAGATATGATAGTATACACAGAAAACTTCAAGGAATCAATAAAAAAAACCTTTTAGGCCTAATAGGCCAATTTAGTAAAGTGGCTGGATACAAGATCAATATATTTAAAAAACAAAAACAGTGGAATTCCTTTACAAAGGAGACACAGAAAAGGAAACCAAGAAAGCAATACCATTTATAATAGTGAAACACAATTTGAGGTACTTGGGAGTAACCTAACTGGAGACACAAAAGACCTGTACAAAGACATCTACAAAACCTTTCTGTGAAACACAATTAAAGACCCCCAAAATTGAAAAATCTTCCATGTTCATAGATAGAAGACTCAACATAGTGAAAATTACAATCTTACCAAAAGCAATCTACATGTTTAATGCAATACCAATAGAGAAACCACATTTCTTTTTTTCACAGAGACAGAAAGGGCAATTGGCAAGTTTATAAATAAAGCACTTCTGAAAAACAGTGAAGTGGGAGGCATAGCAATCCCTGACCTAAAAATCTACTGCACAGCTATAGTAACCAAAACAGCATGGTACTGGTACAAGGACAGATACATAGTCCAATGGAACAGAACTGAGAAATTAACCCAACTATTTATAGTCAGCTGGTGTTTGACAAGGAAGCAAAGCCTATCAAATGAGAAATGACAACTTCTTCAACAAATGCTCCTGGCAAAATTAGACGTCCACCGGCAGAAAGCTGAAGCAGTATCCACATCTCTCCCCACATATAAAAATAAAGTCAAGGTGGATCAGAGACCCAAGAGTAAAGCACCAAATCACAAAGATCATAAGAGACAAAATGGGACCAAAATAGAAAGCTTGAACATGGTATAAAGAGGATGGCAAAACAGAGAAAAATACACAACCAGGAGAGGATAATATTGATGAATGGGACCTCCTAAAGTTTAAATTCCTGTGTGTATAAAAAAAGAATTTTCTAATAGGATGAAAAGAAAACCTACTGATGGGAAAAAACAATTGGAAATGCCATCTCAGCCAAGGGTTTCATAAAGAAAATCTATAGAATCATACAGGTCCTCCAGAAGAAAAAAGACTGATAACCCAATTAAAAAGTGGGCAAAAGACATGGAAAGACCTTTCACAGAGGAAGATATGTGGCTGGCTAAAAGACACATAAAGAAATTCTCAAAAATGCAGGGAATAAGAGAGATGCAAGTCAAAATGACAATGAGGTCCCATCTCAACCCAGTGGCAGTAACAAAGTTTAATAGAACAGCAAACAACAAACATTGGAGAAGTGGGAACTCTCATACACTTTTGGTGAGACTGTAAAGTGGTACAACCAGTTTGGCATTGCCTGAAAAAAAACTGAACACAGAAACTCTATATGACGCAGCTATTCCACTGCTAGGAATATACCCTAAGAAAAACAGACGTGATACACAAATGAAGATTTGGACATTAATGTTCATAGCAGTGTTATTCACAATAAAAAGAGAATGGAAACAGCTGAAATGTTCACCAACTAATGAATGGATTGACGAATTGTGGTACATTCACACTATGGAATACTATGCAGCATGAAGAAGCAATAATATTGAAAAATACTATGTAACATGGGAGAGTTTGGAGGGCATTATGCTAGGTGAACTAACTCAGTCTCATAAGGACAAATACTATATGAGACCATTATTGTGAAAATGGAAGGATAACTAGTAAGTTGCTTATAAAAATCTAAAGAGGGAAGAGGAAGGAGGAAGGGGCCTGCAAGTAGAGGGAGGGAGAAATCTTGAGAGCATTAAATTATGTGAGCAGAGGGAGAGGTTGAAGAAATTAGGAAATATCTAGTGGGCACCTGAAAAAGTGGGCTAATGATGAGTATGGATGAATGGTGATTAATTTTATAAAATATATTATATGGAAATGATACTATGAAACATAATGTGAATAGGTGAATGTATGAACACAATGATATAATTTATATTATAAATGATATAATGATATATATTATATATATTAGAAGCAACAAAAGGAGCAATATATGATATATATTATTATATAAAAATGATAGAATTTATTTTATAATTTATTTAATTAAACACAATGTATATGAGTTTTATATGGAAATAAATAGAAAATAAAAAGAATATTTTAAAAGTTGAATAGCAGATTTCAAAAGGCAGTTCAATAAAACAAAGTAAAGTATTATAATGGAACGTGCAGATGGCTGGAATTGTAGAATAAAAAAGCAAGAACTTAAAAAAGTAGCTAGAAATCAAAACAATGAAATAATTCCCAAAATAACTTATTCTTTATAAGTTAAAGATTGCACTAAGAAAGATAGAGGATACAAAAGTTCAAATTTCCTCAGGGAAAGAGAAATATATTTAGCAAAAGTGAAAATATTAAAACACTAAATACAAAGTATAGACTAGGATTTTTGAAGGAAATAACAATTGGTGAGATTTGCAGGGTCAAGAAAGTCTGTATGGAGCTTTCAGAATAGATAGCAGAAGGTAGGCTAGAGTCTCTTCTCAGTGGACAGAGGAGCAACACTGAGACAAAGAGGTAAGAATGGACACCACATGAATCAAGGAAGTGAAAGAGACAAGAAGGATTACATGTTTGTAAAGAATTAATGTTAGAAATAGTATTTGGGATAATGTGGGAAATAACACTAGAGAGACTGGGTTTGGCAAGGCCACGGAAGGACAATATGTTTGAGGAAGATTTTACATTTGATAAAGTTACAGCATTTTCTCAGTTAGGATATGATCTGTAGAAAGACTAGTTTTAAGGTGTTCTGGAAATATGTTTCAGGGTAGATTGTGGGCAAAAGAGTAAAAAATTAATTAAAATTCTTGCATCAATCCTGGTAGGCAAGATCCTCAACTAGGTGGATTGACATGGTGTGAGGATGGTGAAGGGTAGAAGAAGGTTCAGATCTTTTGTTCATAGAATGCCATGAGTCATACTCGACTTGACAGCCCCTAACAATAACAACAGCATACCAAAAACATATATCATTTGTTTGCTATTTGTTTGCTAGGGGGATGGAATGAATCAAAGATATCAAGAAAGACTGTTAGTTCTTGGTAGCAGGTCAGTCATAAGAGAAAAAGGAGAGGGAAGATTCAATAAGACACTTAAATCCTAGGAAGCTGCTGGTACTAAGGCTAGGAGAGGTGTAACAACAGATAATAAGCATTTTTTTTAAAAGAAAAAAATAGTCTGAATTATAAAAGACAGTTTGCATTACTAGGCTTAATAGGATGATATATAAATTCATTTCTGTGTAGGAGAGGAAGACCCTCGATGAGAGGGATTGATTCTGTCACTAGGGAAATGGGGATAAATAGGTCAGAGAAAATAAGGTTGGCAAGAGATAGATCAGGGTTTAGGACTGTTGTACACAGGGTTGCTATGAGTTGCAAGCAACTCGATGGCACATAACAACAACAACAATATCAAGAAAACAAAGATTCTTGCCACTGGGCCAATTGGCAGCATTTTGATGGATGGTGGAGAGATTGTGACTGTAAAAGCTTTAGTTTGCTTGGCTCCACAAGCAACACTTTCAGCACCAGGAGCCAGGAAATAGAAACATATTGCATTGGGAAAGTTTGCTGTCAGAGACCTCTCCAAAGTATTGAAAAACAATGATGTCAGTCTGGAGACTAAGGTATGCCTAAAATAGGCCATGGTCTTTGCCATCACTTGCTATGCATCAGAGATCTGGACAACTATTAGGGATGATAGAAGGAGAAGCAATGCCTTTGAGCTGTGGTGCTGGAGAAGAGTATTGACTATATCATGGACTGCTTAGAGAATGAACAGGTTTGTACTGGAGAGGCTGAAACCAAGCTGCTCCTTGGAGGCAATGATTCTTAAGTTTCATTTGACATACTTTGGATATGTTGCAAGGAAGGACTAGTCCTTGGGGAGGGACATCATGCTTGGGAGGGTGGAGAGGACAGTGCAGGAGAGGAAGACCCTTGATGAGATGGATTGATTCAGTGATTAGGGTAATGGGGGTAGGTGTGTCAGAGATAGTAAGATTGGCACAGAATAGTGCAGGATTTAGAGCTGTTGTACACAGGGTCACTATGAGCCACAGGCGACTTGACGGCGCATAGCAACAACAATTGGGTAATGGGTAGGCACAGTAACTGGGCTAATGGGTATGTCAAAGACAGTGAGACTGGCTCAGAATAGGGTAGGGTTCAGAGCTATTGTACATAGGGTCTCTATGAGTTGCAGGTGAGATGACGGCATGTAACAATATTAATTTAATAAAGTAAGTCTTGTGAACAGCATTTTCTTTCCTTGAACCCTCAAGCCAACTCAATGCCATTCATCTGATTACAGTTGACAGCAAACCTGAAGATAGAGAAATTTTCATGGGGTTTCCAAGACTAAATCTTCACTAAAGAAGATTATTCCTTCTTTTCCACATAGGATGGCAGATGGGTTCAAAGTGCCAACCTTTTGACAGTAGTTGAATATTTTAACCATTGTGTACTAGGGCTCTTTCATAAACTTAACCATTTTTGTAAGTGGCTTCCAGATCACAGCAGGTCTTCATTGGGTTTCCAAGCCTGTCTTTTTTTTTCTTTTTACACATGTTAATGTTTAATTTGAAGATCATGAAAATAAGTATATAAGAGCCAAAGTATGACCTTGAAATTAGAGGCCATTTCAAGAATAAATCTTACACACTGAATACTAGCATGGCTTTTACTTTCTAACTCACTTCTTTTTTTGTTTTTTTCTAACTTACTTCTTTTTTTTTTGAACACATATTGCTTAATTTATTATAATTTTTGTTCATTTGATCTGTAGATTTTATTTTTTATTTTTTTTTACAGAGGTTTTGGATTTCCATTCATTCATTGCCACAATTTTCTCCCTGCCCACCCCTCCCCACCAGCTCGCTTCCCCCTCCGAAGAGAGAAAAAAAATAAAAAAAATTACTACTTCATTAGTATACAATTCCCACGTCCCTTCCCCCCATCCCCCACCCCGAGTACACTTCTCTATGCAGCCTTAATTCTGGATTCCTGTGCTAACCATAATACTCAATCATATATCACTTCTAATCTGTTCTTTCCCTCATCTGTTTCAATACAATATACATAATTTATCCAGTTTTTTCTGTCATACCCCCACCCTGATGTCAGACCCATTCTACAACAGTGGCACCATGCAGTATTTGTCCCTTTGTGACTGAGATATTTCACTCAGCATAATGTCCTCCAGGGTCACCCACTTTGAATAATATTGCATGAGTTCCTTGTTTTTCAATGCTGTGCAGTATTCCATTGTGTGGATATACCACAGCTTCTCTATCCATTCGTTTGTTGATGGGCCCTTAGGCTGCTTCCAACTCTTTGCTATTGTAAACAAAGCTGCAAGAAACATGGGTGTGCATATATCTGCTTAGATGGCAGACATGGTCTCTCTGGGGTATATTCCCAGTAATGGGATTGCTGGGTCAAATGGTATCTCTATTTGCAATTTTTTGAGAAAGCGCCACACCACGCCCCACAATGGTTGCACCATCTTACATTCCCACCAACAGTGAATAAGAGTTCCAGTTTCTCCACATCCTCGCCAGCATTTGTTGCTTGCTGTTCTGTTATGTTTTGCTATTCTTACTGGGGTGAGATGATATCTCATAGTTGTTTCAAGCCTGTAAGTTTTTATAAAAGGAGACAGTTCATCTTTTTCCCATAGCAGATGATGGAAGTTGGAACTACTGATCTTCTGGTTAGCTGCACAACACAGAAGTACTATCCCACCAGAGCTCCTTTTATAACAACTTGGGTAGTAAGAATTATCACGTTTACCAAGGAGAAATGAGAAAATGGTTTTTAAGAAAACACACCAAACAAATGATGGACCAGGACCTTGACTTCAGGTGTTGTGAGGCTACCCCCTGTGCTAGAAAGAAAAAAGATGACAGCTCCAGGGTAGCTCTTCTGAACAGGGTAATAGGTCAGGAAGTGAGAAAGAATAAAGCTGGACGAATAGATTTGGAAATGATTAGAACAATAAAGATGACATAGTTATTTAGAGAGAGCAAGGTTTGAGTTCTGTGGGAAAAGACACCATTTTTCAGCCCTGCATTTTAGTCTTTTTGTTCTTTGTACTCAAAATAATTCCCTTTAAATGTAAGTGTATTGAGGTCACTTCCCTGCTAAACACCTGTCTGGGCTTCTCACTACAGTTAGAATCAAAGCCCAGGGCCCTGGAGGCCCAATGTGGTCTAGCTTTTGCCCCTGTTATTTGCTTCCCTAATTGCCTCTCATCCAACAGCCTTCTCATCACTAACATTTATGATTTTGCACACTGCAATCGTATTTCCATTTCAGCAGCTTCATATCATAAAAGCCATTCTCTCTGTCTGGAATTCTCTTCTGTTAAAGTTTAGGTCTTTGCTTGCATTTTACGTTGTCAGAAGTCTTCCCTTACCTGTCACAATTATAGTTATAGAAAGTATTAAAAATTAAAACCTTCTTACTACTGCTTCACTTATCCACTTCCTGTCCAGTCGGAAATGACTCATAACTGACCCCCAGTGAGCTTTTGGAGGCTGTAAATTCCAAATGAAGATACTTTTGGTCTTTCTCCTGAGGAGGTGCTCAAGGATTTGAACAGCCAGGGAGGCCCTGACTTTGGATTAACAGTGCAGCTCCCTATAGACTATGTCACAAGAGTCCCTTACTAGTGATTAAAGAAATTAATGTTTAATGCATAAATACAACAGCAAGTCTTGTGTAATCTGACTAGCTTTTAGTACTAAACAAATTTGAAGGCAGTTATTTGTCTTTGAAGGAGTCTTGGTTGTTCAATGGTTAAGCACTTGGATATTAACTAAAGGTTGGTGGATTGAAGCCACCCAGTAGGTCCTTGACAGAAAGACTCCCATAAAGATTATAGTTTAAGCAATCGGATGGGCAGTTCAACTCTATCACATGGGGTGGCTGTGAGTAAAAATGGATTCAATGGCTCACAATATCAACAGACTTCATTTAAATCTGTAGGTGGCACAAAAATTTAGGCTCCACTGAAGGTTGGTGGTTCAAACCCCTCTCTAAATATCATGGAAGAAAGTCCTGATAATCTCCTTCTATCAAAACTTCAGTCAAGTAAACCCATGAAGTATTTCTGTAAAACATGGGGTCACCATGAGTTGGAATTGACTCAAAAGCAACTGGTTTTATGCTTCATTTTAATCAAGACTGAATGCTAGGTGAGAGTTTGTGTTTTGATAAATAATTTGGTATTTCAATTATCATACTTACTTTTTACTTAGAGTATTTGATTTTTTTTGTGTGTTATGGAATGCTACAAAATGCATCACTCATGGTGACCCTATGAACAACCGATCTAAACACTGTCCTATCCTGAGCCATCCTCACAATCTCCAACACACTCAGACTCATTTCCACCTTCATGGTGTATAAATAGCATTTGTATTTATATACTTATAAATAGAAGAATTTCTCAATTTGTTTTTAAGTTGTGACATACATAATAAAGCAAAAGAAATCAGATACTCACGTATCTTTCCCAGTCAATCTCTGCATAAAATCCATTTGGTGCCCCATTGCTTTTCTTCTGTAATAAATTTTAAAATAAATTTAGGAGGCAATCATTTACATGGAAAAAATAAGCTCTTAATTTTTCTCTGTATTTAGCAAGAACTCTCAGAATGCAGCACTGAGAAGGCAAATCGCAGGAGCCTATTGTGGGGCTACACTGGTGCAACTGAATGGTAGAGTCAGCAACCAGGATGCTGCACAAGAGACTTTACACAATTATTTCCCAAAAGCTTGGAGGACCCCTGAAGATAGGGATATTAAGAACTAGCTGCTGAAATGTCATTCAATCACTGAAGAATTTGCTGCACCTACATTAAAATTGAATGCTCTATTCTTCAGGTGAGATGATCAGATATATATCTACTAAAAATAGAAACCTTTGACTTATATGCAGCTTTTCTAGTTCATTGGTTTTAATATATTCAAAGATAAGTTATCCATGTTTCTCACTAATCTTCTTGCAGCTTTTCTGACATTAATTCAACTTTTTCTCAATTACTTCTTTAATAGAATTTACAAGAAATGAGCTCCAAATTACTCGTTAGCTTTTAGTTATTAAAATAGTGTTGATATTCTTTTAAAATGGCTTTCTTATCAAGCTATTAAAGTCAGATTTAGTGGCTAATTGTGGATTTCAATCCATGTGTCCTATGCCTCCTTGAGTATACATTATTCTAAGTTGTAAAGGTATTAGCATTATTCTTTATGGATTATTATAAATTCCATTTTGGTCTCCAGGACAACCTTGAAGTATAACTTGAACAAGGATTTGGAATAATTTAAATAGTAATGACTAAAATTCTTTACTTTTTGTGAGTAAAGGGCAAAAACATAAATCAGGCTGATAACAGAGAGTCCACCCAACATCCTTCCTATATTGGCACATACAGCAAAGGGGTGACACCAAACACTACGTACTTGGAGCAACTCATACCAAAGGAAATGAATGCATGAGGTTTTGGGACAAGACTTCCAATTTTACAATGACAAGTCACGGCCAATTGAACTATAATAAGAATGGCTAACACACAATATGACAAATAGATAGGAGATACAACTTTTCATTTATGCATATATGATCACTATCTAGCCAAACTGAAGGAAGCCAGAACATCACCATCATTGATTAAAATTTAATGAAGTTTGATGGGACATTCTATGAGCTGGCAGCGGTTTAAGGAAGGTAAAATAGCACACAAGGGATAGATAATGGATCTGTGCATTCTCTTCCTTTATACTCCACTGCAATGTTGTTGTTGTGTACCATTGAGTCAGAACTGACACACAGCTGATCCTCCAGAGGGCTTTGACAGGCAGTAAATCTCATGAGAGATTACTCTTCCTCTTCTGTGAAGCAGCTTGCAGATTTGAACAGCACACCTTTAGGTTGCCAGTGCCACTCCTCACTACTGTGAATTGATAAATTCAAGAAATCTGCCATGTGGTCACAGCACAGCACCTAGAAACTGAGGGTTCATGCCTTTCTCATTCTTTGTCTTACTCCAAAGACATACGTTCAGACTGTACTCATCTCACCAAATTGCCTACATTGAACAATGCTTCAAGATTATCCTTTTTACTTTGAATGAAGGTTATTTTTAAAACCAGTCATATTGGTCCTGTATCTGCACACTCTGTGTAGCTAAGTTCATAAAATAGTTCAGATCTGTTCTTGCTAGGATCACTATGAGCTATAGTCAATGGCACCAAACACTAACAATAACAAAAAGAAAAACAAACACGTACACAAAACAAACTTCTCTTCCTTGCTGAGTGGGCAAGGAATGCCTCCTATTTTGGTTATATATATAATTATTTTTGGTTATATATATATTATTGTTTCATTCTTTGTTAATCTATAGGTATCATAGGGCCTCCTTGAAAAGTGCCACAAATCACTCTTCTAAAGCATAAATAACAAACTGACTCAATAGAGAAGGTAAGTTATTAATTTATAATAGCAGGAAATCAAGCTGGTTCCAAAGAAATGAGCTTAAGAATTTTGTAATCAGTTGCTACTGTTATTACTATGTCTAATAACCTCTTAAAGAACTTATCAATAAAGAGATTTTTTTGAGAGCTACCAAAATTTTAATAACATTAGAGAAATGGTGCGATACAAAATGTTCTACGTTATATCATTTGCTTCCAGGGTAATCTCATTTTCTTAACCAAAGCTTTTCAAAAGGAAGGAAATTTATTGTAACAAATTTACACACATACACACACAAATATACACACAACATTAGGAATAAAAACAATTATGCATTTTCTAGATCTAGGTTAAGCAAAAATTTTTCTAGTCCCCATGGAAACCATAGGATGAGCGAAATAAAGTGAAAGCAAAATCTAAAATATTTTTTCTTCAAAAATATGAACATTTAAAAAATACTAAGCACAAACAACAAATTACAACAGTACATATTTTTTTGGCAGATGGACAACATACACTCTTTGTTTTACTAGCAGAATCAACTATTTACATCATTCATTGCCAGTGAATTCTAAAAAAATAAATCTAGAGAAAATTATAAAAACTAGGCTAGAGCCTGCCTATCATACTTTAGCTATCAACACAAACCCCAAAATAAAATAAAACAAAAAGCAGAAAACAATTTTTATAGTTTAACCACTTAAAGTATAGCTTATGGAAGTGATAAAAGAAATGGCTTTATTAATGTTCAAATCAAAGACACTGAAGAGGCAACCTCAATCCAAGTAGGGTAGTAGTATCACTAGTAAAGTAAGCTAAACAGTGAAGCATTTATTGACTATTAAAAACAAAGAATGATTTTTCTCTTGGAGTTATGTTTCTACATATTTTTATTTTTCTCTGTTTTTCTAAAATGTTGACAATTGGCATGAATATGTGACTATCCTTTAAAGAATATATAGATTTACAGAATTATTTATATTGTTTTAGTAGGTACTTTACTTTTGTTAGGCTTATTATCTGACTTCAAATAAGATGATAGGCTAAATAATCACTATAAAAACCACTATTTTCAATTATAGTTCTATTGAACTTTGTCATTTATATTGTGAATGCTCCTTTTTCTTAAGGTGAACTTATGGTCATAGTAATCCTTGAGCAAGAGGAGACACATATTAGAGACATGGTGTGCTGCCTAAATATTTTTATCACAGAATTAAACTTGGCTCATTGTTTTAATAATTCAGTATAACAGTATATAGTCCAATGGAAATATCTGTGAAGATGAAAATAGTCTCCATGTTTTCTGTCCAGTATAATAGTCATTAACCACAAGTAGCTATTGGGCATTTGACATGTGGCAAATGTAACAGGGGAACAGAATTTTAATTCAATTTAAAGAGTCACATATGAATATTTGACTAGATGTTTGCATAGGCAAAGCTGGGATCAACATTCTTGACATGACATCATTTGGTCAAGCACAATAATTCCAATCGATCAAGGGTTGGTAGATCCCTGATGCTAATAAGATGGCATGTAACTTAACTGCTTTTTACTTTGCAGGGTGATGTTTGTATTACAATCAAAGCCAAATTTATAGACAGAAGATTCTCTTATGAATCACTGTCCTTTGTCTAGGACACACAGATCTTCTGTAGCTGATGTCTTTTTATTAAAGTACACTCAGATGTCAATTCCTCATCTTTTGATTGGTTTGATAATTGGCTCTAAGGATTCAATAGGTAATTTGAGAGTATATAGGAAAACCTTCTTACACGGTGTGAATAAGAATCATTTTTCTCCAAACTTCAAATTGGGATTTTACTCACTGTTTCTACAACCCCTTGGAAATTTTAAACTAAAATCTGTTTCCTTACCGAAACTTTTTTTCCTCCTTCACGCGCACACTCTGCTTTGCTATTGTAGGGTGGTTCATGTGGGCTGGGCTGCTGGAATTGATTGTTTTAATGTAGAAAAAAGTTGTTAAAGAATCTGTTTGTTCTTCAAGACACATAGAAAGAATCACATGGCGTCAGCAAACATATCATAGAAGAAACAATTTCTAGGCCAAATTGTTAGGGCCTACCAATCTTGGCAGGATTCCTTCAGCAGAGTGGACTTTGGGGCCCATAATGAGGCTCTATTCAGCAGGCCTGCTTGGTTAGGCCAGGGGAAGAGGGAAGAAGGAGGAAAATCTGTCCCAGGCATGAGGGGCCGTGTGAGTTTATTACTCTTCAGCCAGCACTTAATTTATAGGTAGAGAGCACACACTAGGACACACCAGAAGAGACTGAATAAAAAAGTTATTTTCCTAATCAAAGTGTGAAAACCTAACCTCACCATCATTCCTCACGGAACAAGACTTTCTGAGAGTCACCAACATAGTAGCTCTTTCTCTGTACCTTTTCCTATTCAACTGTATGTCCCTTTACACTCATGGCTGGGACCCCTAGGATTCCCAATCTTGGATAGACATCTTAACTGTTTAGGAATGTAAATAAACACAACAATTAGTATTTATCTGGGCCACAATGTGTTGATGCACACAGCTAAAATCTCAGCCATCATGACTTCCAGCTCTGCCAGCAATGGGTGCACCCAAGTCTGACAGTGTGCAGAGCAAGACAACTGTCATACATGTAGCCCAGCTAAGAAATTATCTATAGAGTCAACATCAAAAGCACTGTCTGCAGAGAAGGGCTCACTGCACTTTGAGAAACCAGAATGAAAGAGAACATCATGACATTAAGGCTATTGTCTAGACAGATTCTGCATTTAGTAAGTATTTTATAAATACTTGGTGCTTGTTATCATCGCTGGTCCCTCATTGAAATATTAGTCAAACCATACATTTCAACGCAACTCTACACATTCAAGGGAAAATGATTTGGAAGCTAAATCATTTACATCAAAGTGGCCTGGCTCCACAGACAAAGTTTTAAAGAAATCAATCTGAGTTTCATAGAAATTCAGGCTGACATCTTTAAGGATGGAATGCAAACAAAAGCTGGGACTCATATTGCACATACAGAAGTCTCAAAACTTAATGACAATAGCAAGTGGGGGGATGGAGGCAAGTTCTCAAGTAGTAAAGTTAGCAGTTGACAAAAAAGTTTTAATTATATACTAAACTGTACACTCTGTTTCTGAGAAAACACATTTATTCCTAATGTCACCTGCTTCAAAACAGGTCTGCGTTACATCCCAAGAAATCAGAGTGAAAGAATTCCTTTTTCTTATAATCATGACCTGTGATATTTACGGTATTGCCAATTAAATGGCAAGGAACAGAACTGCTAATGAATGACTTCACATGCCTTGAAATTGTCCAAGTTGAGGAGGATTCGGGAATTGGTACATGACTTCTTAACGTAGGATGAAGGCCAAGAATCAAGGTTGGGATCATTCCTGTACTAAACGCTAGTGGCTGCTTGCTATATGCCAGCTGTTGACCCAGACACTATGGCACATGTCCTATCCAGAGATTTAAACTGGTGGTTTCCAGAAGAGCAGAGAACAGGAAGCTTGAAATGGAGTCTTGGAGACAATGAGCTGGGTGGGGATAGGGTTCAAAGATGGAAAAAAAAGAACAAGACAAGGAAGCAAGGGGAAGGGAGAGAAGCAAGAAATAGCCATCAGCCTGGAAGCAGCGGAGATAGAAAGCGAAGACCAGCTAATAAAGCCTTGCAAAGGTCAGAATGGAGAAGACAAGATAATCTGGGGAGGAGACCGGAGACAGAAGCAAAGAGAAGACACAGAAGTGGAGAGTACCTGAGACAGAAAGGAGAGGGCTCTGAGCCAGAAGCAAGAGGTGAGCAGAAGATGAGTCTTCTGGGTCTTTTTTTTCCCCTGCTGAATAGAGCCTTGATTATAGTGTTACCCAATGTCTGATGAATTTCAGTCTATTCTCTTAACATTTCATGGTAAGAACTATATGAATGCAAAATGCACCCCAAAGCTAAGAACCTGAGTCAAGTGTGGGAGAAAAAACACCCTCTCTTGCTATTGCAGCAATTAGCATCCAATTTAGGTATAATATTATAAAGGGTGATGCTTCAAAAAATATTTTTAACCTCTGGATTAATTTTAGTTCCCACTCCAGCCCAATGAGCCTTACTTGAGCTTTTTTTTTTCTTTTTCTTTTCTTTTTTTTTTTTTCAGTGACAGCTGTGCTTTTGAACCTTCTGAATAGGCATCTGAATTGGAACTGAAGGAAGTCATTTTAGAACTTGGTGCAAACTCCCAGGAGCTTAGTTCAGATCAGTCTAAGTCCAGGCCACACAGACTTCTGGGAAAAAGCCTGAAATCTGGCAGCCAGCATGGAGTCAGAGCTGCTCTGAAACCTAAACCCAGCAGGCACATTTCCCTCCCTCAGGCTGGACATTCAGGCAGAAGTGGTTTCCAGGCCATTCCCTATTTTTGAATTTAATATAGAAAATGCATCTGCAAGCTCAAGTACTAAAGGGGAAAGGCTTCTTCTGAATTTATTGGATCTCAAATCCATTATGACTTTGTGGCCTCTGTGAGAGAAAAACATTCTCACATAATGAGCTTTTACATCATTAGGTGGAAAACGAAATCACAGTTGATGGCAGCAGCTCCTACATGAACTGTCTGATGTTTGACCAGGCACATTGATAATGGTTCGCTTCTCTACTCTGGGGCAGGATTTTAGGGGAATACAATAGAAACTTGATCAAGATCATTTTTATTTCCCATGCAATAGCTATAGAAGATTATAACAGCAATCTGTTTAAAAAGTCATTCAAATTATTTCTTCCTCTACAGAAAAAACCCCACAACCAAACCAAGCCTAAAACATTAAAAATTTAAAATAGTGGACTCTTAAAGAGTAAATCTACTAAAAATTATCCCTTTAAATACTTACAATTCCATCTCTGTCTGGTGAACCTCTGTAACAAAAAGAAATTAGAAGCCATTAGAGAAAAGAATACGATTTGATATGCAGACTGAAGTACAACAATAGGAATCATTAACCTTAACTCCATTAATGGCCATCCCACCCCAATTCTCAGGATAATGAAAATCCAATCAAAGCAAATTGGTTAAAAGTGATGTTTGTGTGTGGAATAAGTACAAGGGAAGGGGATGGCTGTCAAACTCTAAATTCCAAAAATCACAAGTTGCTCGTGCAATGCCTTGGTTGACTTTCCTAGGGAGAATTGAAGAGTGTGTCCCAGTTTAGCTGGCTCCATTGAAAACTCCTAGAAAGAACGTAAACTGGGTTATCCTCATCCTTCCCCTGGAAGGTGAACTTGAATTTCCTCTTCGAAGAGGAAACTCCTATAAATTTTTTTCAACTTCTTCTAAAGATCGGCACTTTTTTTTTAAGATTTCTGAAGTCAATGTTTCCTTTGATTATGTGAAAGCAGGAAGTGGAAGGCGACGCTGTGTTAAATGGCACACATGGCTGACTCAAGCTCAGGGAAGCTTTTTAAAGGGACACTTAGTCTGGGAACTCTCTAAACGGTATGCTGTTGTTGTTGTTAAGTGTGGTCGAGTCGCAGGCGACTCATAGTGACCCTATGAAGGAGAGTCCTCGATGCTTGGGTGCCTTTTTTCCTCTCTCCAGGTTCACAGGGTTCCTGGAGGCAAGCTATTACAGAAGTGGATGCCACTCCTGCTTCCACTAAACTGTATAAATGTATATAAATGATGTCAGTTATAGAACAGAGTTCAGGTCTTTTGTGCACAGATTATGCTGAGTCGAATTCAACTCGATGACACTTAACCACTGCTAAACGAGACTAGTGCTGTTATATCTGGAGGAACACTCTTCCACTGTGCACATCACTCTTTGTCAATGTGCTGTGTGATGTAACCTGGGTTTGTTGTGATGCTGACCCTTGTGCCATTGAGGTATCAAATCCCATAGTTTCCCTCTGTGGACAGTATTTGGTGGAGCGACCAGTTGTAAAACAGGTTTGGAAGCAGAAGTGGCATCCACTTCCTAAACCACATGGCTCTGGAAACTCTATGAACTAGGAGAATAGATGATAGTTATGGAGAGGCATTATTGAGTCACTATGAGTCGCTATGAGTCGACTCAATGGAAATCAACAACACAACAAAAGTCTGCAGGGAGTGGTCAGGAGTGAGGTCTATAGAACAGGATGAGTCTGAGTTTCTGGGCTTCATTACTGACTCACTTCAAAACCATTAACAAGTTACTTAGCCTGTCTAAACTTCTTTAAATAACTCAATGTACATAAAAAACTTAGCACAGGGTCTGGCACATAGTAAGCAAGCACTCAGCAATGTTAGCTTATTATAATCTTTGTTATTTTAGCAGGGTTTATCTTCATTAAGAGTACCTGCAAACACACTGAAATTTGTAGCAATTTAGGAGGAGTAGTATCCTTATTTTGGGGAAATGATCTGGATCAACAAAGGGAAGGTAGAAAAGGAAGAGGAACCACAAGTTAAATAATATGCACTTCCATCCATTTTACAAGGAGTTAGAAAAATGTTGTTCTGTTAACCGGGGACCTGAATTATGCTTAGGAAATGATCTGCATTGTTCGGAAGAAAATCTTAATAGTACTTGGGTAAATGATAAAATCCTTATGAATTTGGTTGGAATTGTTCTTCTGGAGATGGGACCAGTAAGTATGCTAGATAGAAAAGGAGTCGAGAGCAAGAGAGATAGATAGAAAGAAGCTGGTCCCAAGAAACGAACAGGCCTTTATTGAATGGTCTGAGAGGGACACCAAGTAACCAAGTGCATGTTGTTGTGGTTGTTGTTATGTGCCGCCGAGTCATTTGCGACTCATAGCGACCCTATGTACAACAGCCCTAAACCCTGCTCTATCCTGTGCCAATCACATTGCCTCTGACACACCCATCCCGATTACCCCAGTCACTGAATCGATCCACCTCATAGAGGGTCTTCCCCTCCTGCGCTGTCCCTCTACTCTACCCAGCATGGTGTCCCTCTCCAAAGACCTGTCTCTCCTTGCAACATGTCCAAAGTATGTCAGACGAAACCCCAGAATCCTCGCCTCCAAGAAGCAGCCTGGTTTAACCCTCTCTAGGATGAATCTGTTTGTTTTCTTGGCAGTGCATTGTACATTCAATACTCTTCTCCAGCACCACAGCTCAAAGGCGTCAATTCTCCTTCTGTCCTCCCTAGTCATTGTCCAGCTCTCTGATGCATAACAAGTGATTGAAAAGACCATGGCCTGTATCAGGCGCACCTTTGTCTCCAAAGAGACGCCATTGCTCTTGAGTACTTTAGAGAGGTCCCTAACAGCACTTCCCCATTGCAATACGTTTTTTGATTTCCTGGCTGCTGGTGCCAAGAGTGTTGACTGTGGAGCCGAGCAAAACTGAAGCTGTGAACAATCTCAATCTCTTCACCATCCATCCTGCACAGAAGGTCAAAATGGCCCAAGGGCAGTCAAGGAATTTCTTGGAATTTGGGGCTGTTAATTAACTTGGGTTTGGGCCTTCATGACCAGGCTCAGAGCCTTGTCAGGATCCATTGTCTGGTCTGGTCTTTAGATTTGGTCTTTCCTTTGGTTGCAGAGGTAACTCATGGTTGCTGTGATGCTAAACACTGTGACACTGATGTGTCAAATTCGATAATGGTTATGTATGTATGTATGGTGGACAGTGTTTGGTAGAGCTCCCAGGTTAAAAAAAGCTTGGAAACAGGAGTGGTAACTACTTCTGAAATAGCTTGTCTCTGGAAACTTTATGAATTTGGAGAAGCAATGAAAGTTATACAAGTGTTCAGGTCTTTTGTTCATAGGTTGTTGCACTTAACAACAGCAACTGGTTACCTTAGATATCATCAGGTTTTTTAAAAGATGATCAGGCCTGGGGGCAACTGCAGAAATTCTTGACATTTTTCCTCCCCAGTAAATCATTATTCTTTAATGAAGTTGGGGAAGATAAGAGTAACTGTATTTCCATGTATAGCATTTCTACCTACCTATTTATCTACTATTTCTGCTCATATGCCTATCTATCTGTCTTCCTGTCTTACCTGTCTAGCTATCTGTATATCCACCTACCTACCTATCTACCTTCAGTGAGGAACACAAAGATGGACTCCAATCATATCCCATTGACACAACTTGGACTCCAAGATACGATTCCCCTCCCCTGAAAACACTGCTTCCAAAGTAAAAAGTATCATTTACTTGGATAACAAAACTCTCAATAGGCTTGCATTCTGATGATAACCAATGATGAGACTAAGTTTCATTCCAGGTTAGTGATAGCAGCAGAGTCGATGACATGATGACACCCTCATATGGAAAGGTGGTGGGAGCTGGCATAAATCTTGGAGACCTTTTATTCTTCACTTTCCTCATGTAAAAATAGCAAGGATAGTAGCATTAACCCAATAAGACTGTTGAAGGATTAGTTAATAAAAGTAAAGATCCTAGAATTGAATCTATCATATGGTAAATACTCATACAGTGCTGTCTAAAATAGTAATTATTATGTAACCTGATCTAGGATTGGGTTGTTAGTTATTAAGTGCTGTTGAGTTGGGAATAAGCCTTAATAGCCCTATGAACAACAGATCTGAATCCTGTCTATCCTGTGCTATAGTCACACTTCCTGACACATTAGATCCCACTGTCGCAGTCACTGTGTCAATCCACCGGGCCAATGGTCTTCCACTCCTTTGCCGACCCTCTACCTTTCTGAGTATCATATCTTGTCCCTCTCTAAGGAATAGCCCCTCTTAGCATCATGTCCAAAATATGTGAGGCAAAGCCTTAGCATCTTTGCCTCCAAAGAACATTCTGGCTGAACTTCTCCAAACCATATTTGTTTGTTGTTGATTTTTTTTTGTCTTTCAGTCCATGGGATGTTCAGCATTCTTCTCCAACACCACAGATCAAAGATCAAAATTCTTCTTCTCAAAATTCTTCTTCTGTCATTCTTATTCATTGTCCAGCTCTCAGATATATATAGCAAGAGATTGGAAAGACTACGGCTCAATCACACAAACCTTAGTACTCAAACTGACTCCTCAATAATTTGGAGAGGTCCCTAATTGCATATTGTCCCAGTGCAATGTGTCTCCTGATTTCCTGACTGCTGGTATCAAGGGTGTTAATTGTGGTTCCAAATAAGATGAAGTTGTTGACAATTTCAATCTATTTTCCATCTATCATGATGTTGCTTATTGGTCTAGCAGCAGTAAGAATCATTGTTTTTTTAAATAGTGTTGTTATATCTGGAGGAACACTCTTCCACTTCGTACATCACTCTTGGTCAATGTGCTATATGAAGTAACCTAGGTTTTTTGTGATGCTGAATCTTATGCCATTGGGGTACCAAATGCCAGAATGGTGTCCAAATGTGGACAATGTTTGGTGGAGCTCCCAGTTGTAAAACAGGTTTGGAAGCAGGAGTGCCATTCACTTTCTAAACCACATGCCTCTGGAAACTCTATGAACTTGAGAAATGATGATAGTTATGGAAAGCATTAGGTCTTTTGTGTATACGGTTGTCATGCATTGTGCTCCACAGACCTCGAAGGCAAACAACATCAACACAAACAATGTAAGCTGTTGGTTGCTTAGATTTAATTAATAATCAAGTGTAAGTTGTTTGGTCTTTATTTCAATTAGCAATCAATTGTAGGCTGGAAGCATCTTGTTTAAACCAATTAGGACCTGGAATGGGGTGGGGCTTTGTGATTAACAGTTGGTTGGACCTGAGGGCCTGTGGCTCAGGGTATGGTATGAAGACTGATTCGCTATTAGAGTTACAAACCAAATTATCAGTTTGTTGTGTTTGAGGAGAACATTCTTCTAATTTGCCCAGCACTTGTCTGTCAGATGGCTGTACTGAGAGAACTTGGGATTGTTATAACACTGAAAACTGTGCCACTGGTGTGTCAAATGTCACATGGGTTACCCATGGTGCACAGGTTTTAGTAGAGCTCCCAGAATATGACTAACCAGGATTGGCCATGCATTTCTTTCTGAAAATCCTGTGAACAGTATAGAATTGCTGATAAGATCTGGTAGTGGGGAGATAATGGCAGCTGTAGACATTTGTGTATGTGTTCTAAATTCACTAAATAACTCTTTTGCATGAAGTTTTAGATTTTATTTTAGACTGTATTTCCCCCCTTTTTAACAGAATGCTGATTATATCGATTACATCTAATTTAAAGCTAATCATCTTTCAGGGCTGTTTTGCCTCTAGTTTTTCTATTTCAGGTACATCTTGTATCTACTACCTTTTCTCCCCATATCCATTTGCTACATTGCCATCGTACCCATCTACACTTTTCATTCTATCTGACAAAACACAGATTCTGAAATAGGGTACTGACTCCAAGTCTTACTTTCTGAGAAGCCTTCATTGAGTTACTTAATTGTCTTTGGCATTGATTTCTGATCCCTAAAGCTGAGATATTACTACTAATCTAACTGAGTTAGTGTCATAATTAAAAAGGATAGGCCTGCAAAGCACAGGCTTGTCACTTCACTTCTCTCCTGTCCTCTATTTATCGGTTACTGTAATGAGGATCAAATCAGGAAGCCCTCTTCCTAACCTGACTCTTTCTGGAGGGAGATTCAATCAGCTGGAGTGAGTGCTGGAGTTGAGCCCAGCAGGTTGCTTAGCAACCCTGGGCTGGTTGGAACAGCCTTGAAAACAGTTTCCATCAGCAACGTTTAAGATTCCTGCTTAACATAAGCACAACCTATAGCAGAAAGGACAGCAAATTGCCACAGTTATTTCCCCAATTTTTTCCACCTATGATTCCTTTTGAAGAATGATACATGGTCCAATCAGAGAACAGAGGTTCATGAACATTGTTTTTATTAAACTGCTTGTCCTTCTAATTATGGATCAAACTAGAACCAATTTGCTATAAGTAATTTGGGAGATGATGGCACAGGATAGGGCAGGGTTCATGTCAACTGTTAATAGGGTCTCTATGAGTTGTACTTGAAGGTACATAATAACAACAAGAACAACAACAACATATGGTAGGAAAGCTGGCTGAGTGATAATGATTTGTACTTCCAACCCAAAGGCATACAATTCAAATCCAGCATCTGTTCTGCAGGAGAAATAAAGGCAATCTCCTCCTGTGTGATTTACAGCCTCTAAAAAACCTAGGAGTATTAACTCTAGAAAACATAGGAGTGTCAGCTCTGATCCTACTGTTCCTACTCAATGATACTTAACAATAAGAGCAATAGCATCTGGAAAGAAGAAAGTTGGGATTCTATGAGCAAATGATGTCCCATTAGAGTTCCTCTGGGAGCTATTGGGCATATATTCAAAGTCATAATGAAAACCTTAATCCTCTTTTCACATCTTTAAAAATGGCATGAAAGGGCAGTGCATGCCCTGGTGAGATTATTTAACATCTTTTGCCATGCTAGATGGCTTTCCCCTTCCCTTTTGTATAAATCACAAAATATTTGTATACAAAATATCTGTAGTCAGTTACAGATATTTTCTCCATAGAAAAGTAGATTTGGTTTCTTCTAATGATGTGTTCCCTGAGATGAATTTAATTGTGTCACACATGACACCTGGCATGTTGTAGGTGTTAACAGATGTTGCTGATAGACTGATCAGTGCAGTACTTTGCACTTTAAAAAAAATTAATTACATCTAGCATAAACTTTCACTTTCACAGATGAGAAAACTAAGGTCCAGTGAAGAAAGATGCCAACCCCAGGACAATGGAGCTATTGGCATCACTGTTATTAAACCCAGGGTTTTTGATGTAAAAATGAAAAGCCATTACTAAGTCTTTGTGGCCTAGTGGTAAGTAGTGGTGCTGCAATCCTAAAGGCATGTTGTTCAAATACAACAGATGCTCCATGGGAGAAGGATAGGCAATCTCCTTCCTTTTCTGCCTCTGAAAACACACTGGAGTGTCACTATGGGTCAGTTCCAACTTGAAAGCAAACAACTACAACAAGTTTTGGTAATTAATGTTGAGAGAATGACAATTTCTTAAGTAAGCAGGAATTACACAATTCCTAGAGATGCAATGATTTAGGAAAAAACTTAGGACTACAATAAATACATTTCCATGAAGTCATTATTCACTAAAAGGGAGAAAACTTACAAAGAAACTATCAAGGCACTTAAGATTTGATATCTTGACAAAAAAAGCTTCCTCCCCCAATTCTTTACACTCTTTGGTTTAACATCCTTTGAGATTTCTAAGATGCCCCTCTAACTAAGGAAAAGATTAGAAACGTCAGCCTGGTAACAAAGTCCTTCCTTGGCCTCCTTCTCATTCATGCTTCCCATTATCATCATTCCTCAGTGGAAAGGAAGGCATGTTATTCACTTTTCTGTTTTGAATGCCTGCAAGACTTTCTCACCTCTCTCATTTGGCTTTTGTTGTTCCTTGGAGATGTTTATGTTCTCATTATCTCAAATTTCAAATTCAAGTCCCCTTCCTTCTGTAGCATCACTGATAGCCCATCTTAATGTGAGCTTTCCTACCCTCAAGCTCCCATGAAACTTCATTTTAATTGCTCAGAAGAAACTTACCAATGTTACTTTGTGATGATAGTAATAAAGGCAGGAGACAACCCATTTATTGAATATTTGCTAATCACTAGGTACCACAGTCTTTGTTGTATGTCACTGAGTGAGTGACTGACTAACAGATACTGTATGGCAAAGCAGAATGGCTCTATCCAAGTTCCTAGGTCTTTCCTAGGAAAGATCTCATAAGCATATTTTTCTGCCATCGACCCTATAAATGCTAACATTTCAGTTAGCAGTGAGTTCTTAACTATTGTGACATGAGGGCTCCTAGGTACCATATATTCAAAAAGCTCATACACATTGTCATTTAATTGAAACTGATTTGTGAAAGACCCCCCAGCATATTTTTAGAGGCTGTAAATGGAGAAGACTGCCTGTCTTTCTCCCTCAGAGAAGTTGGTGTATTTGAACTGCCTGCTTCTCGGTTGACAGAGCAAATCCTTATTCACTAGGCCATCACAGCACATTTAAAATATATTGTTTCATTTAACTGTGTAAGACATGTTTTAAGTAATATGGTAGATAGTTTACTGCATACATTTTAAATTAAATTCTGAGAGAACAAGAAAACCTACCAATGCTGACCAACTTGTAATAAGATAATAAAATCATGCAGAATGAAAATCTACAGGTGAGAATAAATATAGTTCCTTTTGTTTTCTTTGTACTTGTGTACAAACTACTGATTTCCTAATTTTCGCACTTTTTGTCAGGGCTATTAGGATGAAATGTCTAATAAGCTCAGTTCTGAAGTACAGTGAATCATACTATATCTGCATTTCCACATGATCACAACCAGTTGCAGCTCAGGAGAGGTGTCCTCTTAAGTTTGGGCTGAAATCCCAACTTCCTGGACTGCTGACCTTACATATTTTAATTGCTGCCAGGATCGAAAAACCAGCAGAGTGTTTTACTCAGAGCTCAGTACTTCTAAGGAGTATACAAGATGGTCTAATAAGTGGAATGAAATTATTATGTGCTTGAACATAATAGGAATAGATCAATAGTAATTATATAAAATACAACGTGTATGAGTGATTGCAAGCAAACAAAAAAATAGGATGTCAGTGTCTGTGGGCTTTTTTCAGGTGTGATAGTTTAAATAGGTAAAAGTGTTCATCTGTTGTTTCTGGTATTGGTTTCTTAACCCCTCAAACACCATTCTTTCTAATTACTTTATGATTTACAATGGTGCATATGCACAATCTTGGCATATCTTGAGGCTAGAGTCTTGAGAAACACCAAGGTCAATTGGCATAGCATAGTCCACAAAGACAATGTTCTCCATCGTACTTTGGTGAATGGCAACTGGGATCTTAAAAGCTTGTAAGTTACCATCTACAGTGCAAGTAGTGTCCTCTCCCTGCTCAGAAGAAGGAAGAAGAAAAGCCAAGATTTACTGTGGTAGTCAGTCCAATGGACTAATGGCCCACACAATCTTCAGCTTCAATGACCTTGAGATCCAAAGAACTAGATGGTGCCTGGCTATTCCTGTTGATCACTCTAAAATGGATCAGAGTAGGAGATACTGGATGGAGTAGGGAAAAATATGGAAACAAAACATTAAAATAATAAAAATAGCCAGGTTTATTAGTCTAATAGAGATAGGTAGCCATGAATACAAGGTCCCGTTTAATCTTTGATTCTGGAACAGAACACACCTCCATGCTTAACTTTCAGCCAAACAATAGATAGGCCTATAGGCTGAATAAAGGATTACAGTGGCACACACTCCTTAGAATAACCAATCATACAGGGTCAAAAGAATAGTACGAGCCCAAGGACAGGGCTATAAAGGCAAGGAGGTATCAAATGGAAGGATTACTGGAGATGAGAAGTATAGAGAAGTGCGAAAAGTGTGATTATTGTGAGTATTATAACTTACATCATGAAACACAAAGTCTGTGAATCATCAAATGGAAACCTAATATGCTTTATAAACTATAACCAAACAAAATCTTGGTATCTCAAGCAAGAGATTAGGGATGTTACCTAGTCTACCTTCCTGTGTCTGGTTGAGTCTAATCTACCTAAGCAGGTATCTGTTTCTTAAATTGTTTTTAGGGGCAACCCATTTGGTGGAAAAGCATGATTTTCATTACCAACAAATAGTGTAGCAACTCTTTTTACTTCCTAGGCTTGCCAGGGGTGTGGCTACCAAGCCTTTGAGAAATAAGAAATAAAAAATTGAACACATAATGAAAAGTCTTTATAGAACAAACCTAAATAAAATGCCTGTGCCTATCAATTATCATGTATACAGTGATGGGAAGAACCATCACATCATATTTCATCACCAAGAAAATTTTATGGCACTTTTATAACAGTGACATCTCATAGTTAAATAGTCTTCAGAGAAACAAGTTTTTAAAGTACATACGTTGAATCAGTATCTTTTTCTTTCTTCCGTATTCCAAAAGCTTTCCTTGTACGTTTCTTCAATCCTGTGGGAAAAAAAGAAAGAGGTCAAATAAATACATCAGCAACATTCAAGTGGAAATCTTTTTAGTGTGCTGCAATAACTCAGATCACCTTGAATTTTCAAACACTATTGAAAATCTTTTCAATTGCTTGTGTATGCCTGTGCATATAAGTCTTTATTATAGTTTCAATGGATGTTTATCTAGAACTTGCCAGTGTAAGTTTTTTGCACTATAAGTAACACAAAGATATCTGAGAATAGAGAAGACTGTACACTTCCCTTGGACCATTTTGTTAATTTCTCCCAATTGAAGTTCTGTCTAGAAATGAATCATGGATGTAAAAGAATAACAATTTCCAGGTTAGACATGTTTTTGTGATTGGGATAATATCAAGAAACAGATCATGTAAACTATCTTTGCATCACATTTCCATTTTATCTTTTTCTACTTTCTCATTCCTGGGGTCAAGATGGATTAAAAAGCATTCTCTAAACATACTGAGTGGTGCAATAATACTTAACATCTCAACTGCTTAATAAAAATGCAGAAGGTTTGAGTCCATTCAGAGGTGATTTGGAATAAAGATTATGAGCTATTTTGAAGCATTGTTGTCTTGCTGTTGTTAGGGGCTGACTCATACCTAGTTCTCCAGTGGGTTTTCATTGCACAGGAGGAGACAGCTCAACTTTCTGCCAAGGAGCTACTTGTGGATTTGAACTTCCTGCCTGTGAATTGGCAATGCAATTCCTGATAACCAAGCCATCAGAACTTCCATTGAAACCCCAATAGAGCATGACTCAACTCCGTCACACCTGGTTGCCATGCACTGGAATCAACTAGAGGCAACTGTTGTGTGTGTTTGTTTTTTCTCTTCTTGCATATATTCTACACGTCTACTCCTGTATCTCTTTATACTTTACACAGCCCTTACCTTTGAAGTACTTATTTTTTTCAACATCTAGAATTTCAATTGATCTTCTAAGGTCCAGGCTAAAGTTCACTTCATTTGCAGGGCCCACTCAGTTGTTGTTAAGGACTTTGAACTGGCTTGACTAGTTCAGTTCACTGATGGGCTGCTCAGTGAAGCTGTAAGAGTCAAACTTGCACAGTATGAGTGTATTGGAATGATAACTAGAATGGGAAAAAGAATAAGTAAAAGCCCTGGAAAGGGAGACTTGGAAAAGATGCAACAAGCTCTTTTGGGAGTCTGAGAGAGGCAGGAGAATGGGTTACTGCCAGGACTGTACAGAGATACATTCAGAGTGATGTGGTCAAGTCTTTGCCTTTGAGCTGAACATAACTGTTTATGAGATTGCCAATCAATATATTTGGTTGCTGTGCAACACATAGACTGTTCTTGTTTTCTAAGAGAGAGATTACATTTCCAGCAGGGCACTGGCCCATAATTTTTCTCATTATGGTTAACATTTGGTATTAAACTCTAATTTCTTTCTTTCCAGTTATCATTTGGTACATCCAAGTTTACAAATTTGTTCCATTATAGTTTAGCTTCCTGGGCTATGACAGATCCTAGAAGAGTCAGTTTAAAGCCCTGGTTATGACACTAAATATTCTGTGTTCCCCACAAAACACTGTTCCTCCATATTAAAATGCACCCTACTTGTTTCCCATATAAGTTTTCCTGGTAGGTTGTGAGCATTCCATGACAGAGGACAGGTCAATCTCGGCTGTATGTTCTAGATATCAGTTATAGGTTGTTATTAAGTGCCACTGAGTCCATTCTGACAAATAGAGACCCCATGTACAACAGGATACTGTCTGTCTCATCCTGGGCAATTCTCATAATTGCTTAAGCTCATTGTTGAAGCCACTATGTCAACCCACTTACTAAAGGTACCACACAGGTAACAGATGATATTTGTTGATTTAAAACAGATGATACTTGTTTATTTGAAAAACTGCATGTAACAGATGTTATTTGTTAAAATATCTTCCAAGAAGCAACATCTGGGCAACACTGGAGTGACAAGACCCCCTTCTCCCATCGTGGACAACCAACCTCAGCCTTGGTTCTCCGAGCATCCTTCAAGGCTCTCTTTGAATATTGCACCCTCTGCATTCCTTATGGATTTCATAGGAAACCCTCACAGTTGTTGACTTTGTTGTGTTTCATAAAGAACCCTCATAATAAGATGGTTAAATGCCCAACTGCTGACACAAAGGCAAAGATCCAGTCTGGAAATCATATGAGATAGTGCTACTTTGTCATATGGACTTGTTATGAGTTGAAATATTCTTGATGGTACCTGACTACCACAAAATATTTAATAGTCATACACTTGGCTTGCATTACTTATGTTAGCATTATATCCACATACTATGTATTAAAAATTGTAAATTTTTTTGCAGTGCTTTGGTCTTTTTGAGAATTTGGAGAAGGAAGGATTTGTGATTGGCACTGCCAAGTGGACTAAAGGGAAAACATTTACAGCATCATTGATTTGATGATACCTTCTTCCAAAACATATGAGTCAGCCCAAGCCACTCAGACTGACTAATCCATTATCTTGCTTTTAGGATACTATTTAAATATAATGTCTAAAATGCCTCTGTTTCATCTCATTTTACATTTTAATAATCATTCCACTTAAGAAGTTTAGGTTTTTAAAACGTGAAATGTTTTGGTGTTTAGTAAATCTCCCACATAAAACAATTTTACAATACCCTCCACATGAGAAACACATAGGGAAATGAACTGACATGTAAATCTAAACCCCTGTATGTACGACTTCACAAGCAGCTCAGGGGGCACAGTGCCGTGTTGGGCTACTAGCTAAATGTCAGCAGTTTGAACCCACCTGCTTCTCCACAGGAGAAAGCTGAGGCATTCTGCTCCTGTAAAGATCTACAGCTTCAGAAATCATGTTAGGAGGAGAGGCACCGTTCTATCCAGTCTTTGAGGAGCTCAGGGAGAAAGAATTGACTCAATGGCATGGGTTTGTTTTATTGGTAATATTTAGGAAAATCTTCCCTCTTTTCACTTTTAATTTTAATTGTTTCTGCCATATCACACCTGCCTTTCCCTTTTAAGGATACAATGAGTCATAGTCAAATAATAATTTTCTTATTATTATTCATTTTCTTAGGCATCAGGTCTCTTAATGGTTTGTCCTATGTTTCTAATTTAATCATTGCGTTGGCAATGGATACTATAGTTATCAATCACTACTATTTTTATAGAGTCATAAAACCAATGGTATTAGTATCTTATGTTTCCAAAGTGTTTTACTTCCCATAACTTATGGATGAGATAAGAACATGTCTTACCACAGAGGGAAAATAAACAGAGATTCCATGAATTCTCATATGTTAATAATAAAGTAGAGAACTAGAACTGTAGTTTTCTGTAGACTCTGGGTTTTTAACTCTAAGATTTTAACAATAGTTAATATGACTCAGGTTATGAAAGTCAAAAGCTTAGTTTCCAGAGAACAGTACATGCGAGTAGGAGTCAGGAAGTACAGGATCCCTTTCCAGCTTCATTTCTAATTGCTTAGCTTAGTTCAAGTTATATTCTCTTCATGTCTGAACAGTCAGCTAGCTAATAGTAAGGGAATTTTGGTTATTAATAAGGAAAGAAAGACTATACACACCTTCATCAAATACTAAGGCAACTAATAAGCTTAATTTCACTAAAGACTCTTGTTTCTTATAAACTAAGAATACACTATCAATGTGATGTTCCAGAAAAAAAACCATGCAAACTGTTGACAAGAGAAAAAAATTAAACCTTTTCCCCATTAAAAGTGAACACATTTCAGAAGTTCAGTAAACTAAGAAGAAAATTCTGAAGATGAAACTCAGTAAAGTATCAAGAAAAAGACTAAAGCAAAAATAGAAAATGTAAGTTACCCATATCTTAGCTCTTGGAGAAGATCTAAGAAGAAAACAATCATACTTGCTACAATTGAGGTCATTAGAGAGTCATGCCAAGTTCTGAGGATTTATTTTAAAATAATCCAAGAAATGCTTCAGAAGAGGGAAACAATAGTTGAGGATCTGAAAGGAATTACAAGGCATTACCTATATAACTCTCTACAAGACAGACCAATTTATTTTCTTGGCGGTCCATGGTATATTCAAGATTCTTCTCCAGCACCACAACTCAAAGACATCAATTCTTCTGTCATCCTTAGTCATTATCCAGCTCTCTGATGCATATTTCCAGGAGGAACCGATCCCTGGAGAAGGACATCATGCTTGGAAGGGTGGAGGGACAGCACAGTAAAGGAAGACCCCGAATGAGATGGATTGAAACAGTGACTAGGGCAATGTGGGTAGGTGTGCTGGAGTTAGTGAGACTGACTCAGGGCAGGGTAGGCTTCAGAGTTATTGTACATAGGGTCTCTATGAGTTGCAGGCAACTTGGCGGCACATAACAACAATAGCTATATCACTAAGTGAGGAGGACTTGATATGTTTCTGCATAAGATCAAATTATAGCTTCAATATTGATTACATCTAAATATCAGGAAGAAACAATCCTCACCACTGGACCAAGAGGCAACATTATGATAAATGGAGAAGAGATTGAAATTGTCAATTATTTAATTTTACTTGGATTACAAGGGTGTTGGACAATCAACACCCTTGGTACTAGCAGTTGAGAAATAAGGAGACAGCGCATTTGGAAAGTCGGCTGTCAGGGAACACTCCAAAATGCTGAAAAGCAATGTGTACTTGATTCAGGTCAATGGTCTTTTCAATCACCTTCTCTATTACCTCAACTACCAGAGAGCTGGATGAAGAATAAGGATGACAGAAAAAAAAGACCAGAGAGCTGGATGAAGAATAAGGATGTCAGAAAAAAAGACTCAGTGCCTTTGACTTGTGGTTTTGGAGAAAAATACTGAATGTCCTGTGGACTGCCAAAAGAGCAAATAGATATGTCTTGGGAAAAGTGCAGCCACAGTGCTCCTTGGAGGCAAAGATGGTGAAACTCCATCTTTTATACATTAGAAGTGAAGCTAGGTGAGGCTACCTTGGAGAGGCACACCAGG